GCTTCTTAATTGAGCGAAAAAGCTGTTTGGCTCTGAGGGGATCTTAAAGTGATTAGCTGTGGGTAGAATTCAATTTAAAATTGACCTCTGGGAGCAAACTGCCATCTGGTAACACATGACTCTGTAGTTTGGGCTTTCATTAGGTCTGGAGTGACCAAAATATTATAAAAAGGATGTCAGGCAGCATTGATATGTTTGCTAAATGCTAAAACCAGCTTCTACGGAATCCCGCCCATCCTTTAGGCTCTTAGCCCATTGTATTATGCTTGTGTCCATTTACCTGTTTTTGGAAGTCCTTTAGCACATGCTGTTATAGGGTATTGATTTAACAGCAATCCATTCCAGGGATTTGGATGTGTTTGAATGATCACAATGGTTTTGTGAAGTGTATTATTGAGGAAATAACTCTAGCCAATCCAGTTAATATTAGTGAAATTGCATAAAGTACTTATCTAAATGACCCTTTCCTTGATTTTTAGTTTTTTTAGTTTTGTAGTTAAGGTCTAGTAAGGCACAGTACAAGCCTATAAAAGGTTAGCAGAAAGATAGAGACGCTCTCGTTTTATTCTACCAGACAAGCAGAGCTCTACCACACTGTCCTTGAAATGGAAGCTTAACACATAGAATTACACATGCAAATGGTTTCATGCATGTTTGGATAATTGAAGTAATATTACTGTTAATGTTAATGTTCCTTTGACCCCTATAGGCCTGTACTGCATTGTCATGAGCTAAGATAAGGCATTTACAGTGACATGGGTATAATGTTTGTTACATAATAGTCCTGCTGCAAGGCACAGCTACAGTATAAGCCACTTATATCCTTATTGTCATGCTCTGATTCCTCAGAGGATCGCTCTACATGTAGGATGAGTGCACTAATGCTCACAGACGGATATGGGTTGAGGCGATGCCCAGTAGTAGGAGTCTGGGGAGCATATATAGATGGGCCTTATCTACAGTACACCAGAAAACCACAGGAACCAAACTGGAATATCAATGCAGTAAAAAGAGATCCAGACTAATTTTCAGAAGTTTGGATGCTTCCCTCTCGTGTGTGTGCCCTTACAAAAGAAACATGTCAAATTAGCATTTTCACATGTGAAATACCTTGAGCTTAAATTTCACACGTGAAACCATATTTTCACGTACAGTACCAGTCAAATGTTTGGACACACCTACTCATTCAAGGGTTTTTCTTTATTTTTACTACTTTCTACATTGTAGAATAATAGTGAAGATATCAAAACTATGAAATAACACATATGGAATCATGTAATAACCAGAAAAGTGTTAAACAAATCAAAATATATTTTATATTTGAGATTCTTCAAAGTAGCCACCCTTTGCCTTGATGACAGCTTTGCACACTCTTGGCATTCTCTCAACCAGCTTCATGAGGTAGTCACCTGGAATGCATTTCAATTAACAGGTGTGCCTTCTTAAAAGTTAATTTGTGGAATTGCGTTTGAGCCAATCAGTTGTGTTGTGACAAGGTAGGGGTGGTATACAGAAGATAGCCCTATTTGGTAAAATACCAAATTATGGCAAGAACAGCTCAAATAAGCAAAAAGAAACAACAGTCCATCATTACTTTAAGACATGAATGTCAGTCAATTCGGAAAATGTCAAGAACTTTGAAAGTTTCTTCAAGTGCAGTCGCAGAAACCATCAAGCGCTATGATGAAACTGGCTCTCATGAGGACCGCCATAGGAAAGGAAGACCCAGAGTTACCTCTGCTGCAGAGGATAAGTTCATTAGAGTTAACTACACCTCAGATTGCAGCCCAAATAAATGCTTCACAGAGTTCAAGTAACAGACACATCTCAACATCAACTGTTCAGAGGAGACTGCGTGAATTCACCCTCACGTAGGTGAACGGATGATCTCCGCATGTGTGGTTCCCACCGTGAAGGTGGAGGAGGAGGTCTGATGGTGCTTTGCATTCTGCGGCGATACGCCATCCCATCTGGTTTGCGCTTAGTGGGACTATCATTTGTTTTTCAACAGGACAATGACCCAAAACACACCTCCAGGCTGTGTAAGGGCTATTTGGCCAAGGAGAGTGATGAAGTGCTGCATCAGATGACCTGGCCTCCACAATCACCCGACCTCAACCCAATTGAGATGGTTTGGGATGAGTTGGACCGCAGAGTGAAGGAAAAGCAGCCAACAAGTGCTCAGCATACGTGGGAACTCCTTCAAGACTGTTGGAAAAGCATTCCTCATGAAGCTGGTTGAGAGAATGCCAAGAGTGTGCAAAGCTGTCAAGGCTACTTTGAAGAATCTCAAATATAAAATATATTTTGATTTGTTTAACACTTTTTTGGTTACTACATGATTCCATATGTGTTATTTCATAGTTTTGATGTATTCACTATTATTCTACAATGTAGAACATAGTAAAAATAAAGAAAACCTTGAATGAAAAATGTATGCGCTCACTAACTAAGTCGCTCTGGATAAGAGCGTCTGCTAAATGACTAAAATGTAAATGTAATGAGTAGATGTGTTTAAACTTGACTGGTACTATATATTACATTTAGAATTCACATATTAACACCACTTTTTCACATGTGAGAAGAAAAACATGTTTCACCTCGCTTGTGAATTGCGGATTCACATATTAAAAATGTTCACATGTTAGAATTAGATATATGCAGTTTCACGTGAAAAATGTTCACATGTAGAATTGCACGTTCACATGTGAAAATCAATCACATGACAATCTAAATTGCAGTTTCACATGTAAGAAATATTCACATGTGAAAGTCAAACTTTCACATGTGGAATTGCAAGTTGACATGTGGTGGTGAAATAGTGTTATTCTCCTCACATGTGAAAATCTGGTGTTAAAATAGCAATGTTTCCACATAGGGAATTACACATTCTGTAATTCCATTCTGTAAAAAGGTAACTTAGCCTACCTGAGTATAATAAAAAGTATGTTAAAAATAATATTTTTTTATTTCTGAGCCATCCATTCGGAGTGTTCCTGCTGCAGATGCACGCCTCTCTTCTTCATAAGTTGATCAGTGTTGGAAGAAACCCAGATGAAAAGAACAGAGATGCTAGGGCTCTCGGTCTCCTAATTGATCCCTTTTAACATGTTCAAATCAGTTAACTTTTTGTCATTTTTGTGCAATTAAAAACAAAAAAATCATATTGCCTGAAATCGTTCAAAATACACTGAAAACCTCCAAATACATAATCTATACAGCTAAAAACAACAATGCGATGTCAAAAGAAGTTGACTTTGAGGTTAAAGAAAGTGTGTTTTAAAAATGTACCTGTTTTTGCTAACCTTTACTTTTGACAAAATCAAAACAGCAAATTATGAATTTGTGATTAATCGTGATTTATCAAAGCAAATCCTGCAATACATTATTTTTTTTATGTTGACATAATTGATATTAAAATGTGAAAACGCACATGTGAAAGTGTAGAGGTCATGGTTTCTCATGGTCACATGATGAGGTAATCCTGCCTGCGACTTCAAAATTAGTGTTTGCCCTCTTGGTCGAATGGTTAAGACGTTGACTTCTCCCGTTGGAGTCCTGGGTTCCAGCAGTTACAAAAGCACACATGTAAAACTAATAATATCACTTGTGAAATGTTGGGAAACCACGTGTCTGAGTCATGTGAAAAGGTGAATCTTCACACGTCTGAAAACCACGTCTGACTCGTGAAAATGTCCCATGTTAATTTTTTTTATTCCTTTTTTACGTGACATTTTTCACGTGATTTGTTCACACGTGTCTGAAAACCACAATGTTTTTTCACGTGATATTTATTTTTTGTAAGGGTGTGTCTTTGTTGATTCTTGGTGTAATCTTTTGTAATTCCTTTTTATCTGTAAAGACCACAGATTAAGGGAATTTGATCAACTCTTGCCACACTGAGTCAATCTGCTCATCCCCAGTAATGACATCATTAGTCAAATAGAGCATGAAAAGCATAGATAGTTGAACATTTGACCATTTCCCACATCAATCCCTTACTATAGTTTTGGAAGCATGTTGTCCTGTATACCCGTCGGCTACTGTGGCCTACAGTAATAGGCTTTTACTTCAAATGAAGCTACATGAAACGTGTATTTTGTTCCTGTCCTTTGAAATGCACTGGTTTGTGAGATCAAGGCTCATTTAAATGAGGCTGCAGCAGTTGTAAAGCTTCTGAATACTCATAACTGCCAGCTGGGAGTCTCAGCTGTGTATTTACATAGTCCTCAATAGACACGTTGATTAAGAGAAGGGAGTATAAGGAGAGACGCATAATACTACAATCCGAATAATTCCATGGTTTAACATGACATAACCAGGTGACCGTAGTTCACAATTAATTACATCGTTATCTTGAATTGAATTGCATCGACACACTGTATAATAAACCTTGTAGTGTTGAGGATTTGGCTTGTGGCTTGTTCCACCATGTCTAATAATAAGACTGCTCTTCTGTCTCTCTGTAGAAATATCGTCAGTGCATGGCTGGACTGCTAGCCCCACCTTATGGAGTTATGGAAAGTGGTGGACCCAGCCCTGACAGTGAGTACAAGCCTACAGTGCCATCAGTAATGTCAATCTACAATGTTCCTTACTGGCCTACCTCTCGCCTTTACTATGGAAAAAGCGATATCAGCAGTCTGAAAGTCAAGTCTAAGAAAAGGGGTAATTTCCCCTCAGATAAGGTTTTGAAGTGTAATAACTAATTATGTTTTTCCTGAGGGAAAAACATAATACACTCTTCTTACTGTACAAATCTCCCTCGGCGACTGATGACATTATGTAACTCACTCCTCAAGGAGATTCTAGTTGATACATATCTACATTCAACATAGCATTGAGTTTATGCATTAACATCTAAGTATATTTGTGAAAATGCACCAATTGTTGCAGAGAAATAAATACTGATGTATGGGATTTATTTTGTGTTGCCTTGGCTTTAAACTCAGACTTAATGTGTTACGAATGACTACGTATTTAAATGTTTTCATTCAGGAATGCCGGACAAAGAGCACATAAGTACCAACTCTTTTGGATCCATCTCTAAACATCTGAATAAGGTACAGTAGAGTCTTCTGAATGCAAAAGTGAGACTTCATCATTACATATCATAATGACTTAGTTTCACCATCAAACATTGTCCACTATCAATATCCAAAATCATCCAAAAAGCAATGTGTGACTATGGGAGTAACCATGTAATATTGGCAACCCAGAGACAAAATCTAGCATAAACGACCACCGTCTGGGTACGAGAGATTAGAACCACTTTATGTGAAGTGAATATCATCCAGATTGAAAACTGTTGTGAATGGAAGAGTGATAGTGGGTGGTAAAAGGATGGTTATTTCAACCTATTTACGTGCTGCTTACATGGGCCCTGATCTAACAACATCCTCTTTAGTTACCAGAAGCTCTAAATAAGTCTGGAATGTCGAGTTTGTTTAAAGTTTGACTAAATATAAACAAGGCAGCAGCTGAGACCTCACTTCCGTTTGTGTGCATCATGTCCTAAATAGTTCCCGTTCCACCTTAACTAAATTGTGACTTCCTTACCTCCATACAGATAACATGGTGCTATTCTGGGGTTTCATGATTTATTACGGCTTGGGCTTTGTTCCTGGTTTTTTTCCCAGACCAGCCAAAACATGTGCACTATATATAACTACAATGATAGTATAATTTTGTTGTTGTTTTTTACCGTGGAAGTTGTTAGCAAGGGTGTCAGTTGGGTATGGCCCAACACCAACAATTTAAAATGGGCTACTAAAATCATTCCAATCCTGATTTTATAAGCAAATGCAGTTCAGCAGTATTAGCGGGCTGACTTTAGGACCATGCGAACGCCTGGGAGCGGGAGGGAAGGCTGGTTGAATGGCTGGCTGGCTTTATAGAGAGCGCATCTATACAGCTGTCACTTTGCCATACCCTAGGTTTAGCTGAAATGACACCCCTGGTTGATGGTGGTAAAGGCTACATCTTCACAAGGGCCTATTCTCTGTCATCATTGATAGGGAGGGAAATGTGACCATTCACTAAAGTCTGTATCGTGTGTCATACAATCTCAAATGTTCTTATCATCCCGTTCTTCATTTTGTGCTTTTATTTTGAAATCCATGATGTCTCCGTGTGTGTGTGTGTGCGTTTTCCAGTCATTGTCATTTCATTTTACTTTTCAGAAATCCTTCACAGAAAGCCCAGCCAAACCCCATCCTAAATCAATTTCTCAGGTAGTAAAGACCATCACACCAGTAGAGGCCATCTCTGTAGCTGTCCATTGATCTCCTTCACTCTCCTCTATTATGAGGCTCTGCCTCTATTCCATCCTTCCTTCTTCTCCCCACAGGTCCCATCTGAGAAGATCATGCGAGCAGGGAAGGTTCTACGTGATGCCATCCTCTCCAGAGCTCCCCACATCATCCGAGACAGGAAGTACCACCTGAAGACATACAGGTGGGTTGGAATATCTCCTGTACCATGTACACCTGGTACACTCATATCACAGTACGTGTACATCTGTCTGTGGTTATGTGTGTATTGGTTATGTCTGTTTTTTGCTGTATGTATTTCCTGATGGGATGTGTATATCTCCTGCAGGCAATGCTGTGTGGGAACAGAGCTGGTTGACTGGCAGATGCAGCAGAGCTCCTGTGTTTACTCTCGCGTTCAAGCAGTGGGCATGTGGCAGGTGCTGCTGGAGGAAGGCGTTCTCAACCACGGTGAGCCAGAACTGTCCAGTAGACAGTACTAAGAGTAACCTCTCTGTCTGTGTGTGTGCATGTGAACGCCGGTCCATTTCTAAACCCTCTGTGTGTTCTGTCTGTTTGTTGGTTGCAGTGGACCAGGAGCTGACCTTCCAGGACAAGTATCTGTTCTACCGTTTCCTGGATGATGAGCAGGAGGACGCTCCCCTGCCCACTGAGGAGGAGACCAGGGAGAGCGATGAGGAGCTGCAGGATACCCTCGTCCTCCTCTCCCAGATCGGCCCTGACGCACACATGCGCATGATCCTGAGGAAACAGTAAGGACCAATCACAGAGATCGCCACCTGCGGGTAGGATGTATGCAGGTCTGGAAGGTTCGGGTTAGGAAAGATAAATGAGATATGTAAGCAAAGTGCAAAGCTGATGTGAAGGTCCTGTTCAAAGTGAATCAATTAGATTGTAACCAAGGTCAAATTATTTCCCCTTCCCCAGGCCAGGACAGAGGACAGCAGATGATTTGGAGATCATTTATGAGGAGCTGCTCCATATAAAAGCCTTATCGCACCTGTCCACCACTGTGAGTGCAGATTCGGTTACATTCGTAACGCATTTTAGGCCTGTATATGATGTCAACCCTGTAACCTAGCTGTGTTTTCCCCCCTGCTTCTACAGGTAAAGAGGGAGTTAGCCGGAGTCCTGATCTTTGAATCCCATGCCAAAGCAGGAACAGTGTGTAAGTAGTTTAACACTGCCTCCATGACCAGAGTTCAACCACTTTAACTTCATAAACTTTGCACGCTATTCATTGATTTATAAATGCATTTTCTATATGGAGGCAGAAAGAAAATCCCGGATTATGTAGTAAATCCTTTGTGGTTTCTATTTCTGTAACTCATTGCATTGAGATGCATTCCTGGAGATGTTTTGTTGGAAAATATCAGTTTTGATATGTTATCATTTTCACTTACAGTGTTCAATCAAGGGGAGGAAGGCACATCGTGGTACATCATTCTAAAGGGCTCTGTAAACGTTGTCATTTATGGAAAGGTAAAATAAGATTGTTCAAATGTTATTTGAATCTCGCATCTCATACAATTCATCCCCATTTGATCAGTATTCAGCTAATCACTATAGCCAATTATAGAAAATATGAGAGTGGATAAATTACATAGCAGATGTAAAAGTATTGTATGCTGTCCCTTTAAGGCACAGACATTCTTTGTTTGCTTATTCTTGTCCTGTTTCACATAGGGGGTTGTTTGCACGCTGCATGAGGGAGATGACTTTGGGAAGCTTGCCCTGGTCAACGATGCCCCCCGCGCCGCCTCCATTGTCCTACGAGAGGATAACTGCCACTTCCTACGTGTGGACAAGGAGGACTTCAACCGGATCCTCAAAGTGAGTTATCTGGGGAAGTTCTGTTTGTCCTCAAAGAAGATAGCATGGCCCCCTACACCTCTCTGTCTACTAAGCTCAGTGAAATTCCACTTTATCTGTATTCAATGGTATAGTCTCACTCTATTGGTTGAGATTCGGTTCAACATTGCAGCTCCTAAATAAGAGAGGTGTAAACGTTCATCAGAATGATGCATACAATAACCAGTTGTATCAGTTAAGAGTCAAGTCCCCGTTTTCGTGTATAATGTATATATAATTGTTTTAATGATAGACTACTATCAACTTTGTGGTTCAATGGAGACAGTTGTTTGTAGGAGAGGTACAGTATAAACGCTAAAGCCAAACTGTCAGCTGTCAGTCTCTTAGTCCAAAGGCCGGCAGATGGCGATATTGAGACGTTTCCATCTTACCGTCCAAATGCATTGTATGCAGCCGGTAATACACTCGTATCCCCTGTGGACCGGTTCGTACCTAAAAATTCTCCATTCAGGCTGCAAAGGCGTTGATTTCCTCCTGAACCACCATGCTAAAGTGGTTAATACCTAGGAAGGAATGCTAGTCCCGGATGTTGCGTGTTGCGTTCAGCCAATCAGGTTGCAGCAGTCTGAATGCAGAGCGCAACATCAGGAAGTAGCATTAGCCACTAGCATGGTGGTGGAAAATGGTGTTTCATAAAGAAAGTACGCATTTTTCCCCCATTTTTTTCCTCCTTCTCGTCATTAAATCTAGTTCAGGAGGAAATCGATGCCTTTGCAGCCTGAATGGAGAATGTTTTAGGTACGAACCGGTCCACAGGGGATACGAGTGTATTACTGGCTGCATACAATGCATTTGGACGGTAAGATAAAACCATCAATACTAGATCAATATCGCCATCTGCCTCCGTTTGGGCTATCGGTCTCTCTACATTCTCCCTCCACAGCCTATTGTTTAGCCCCGCCCACGTGCAGCCTGCATTGGACTTTGATAGGACATCAGGGTCTTCATTGTGTGTACAGAAAAGCGGATGGATGATGGATATCTGTGTGATCCACAGAGGCAGACCCTCTGTATGAGGCTCATTGAGTCCTCCTCCTCCTCTGTAAATCTCCTGTTGGCTTTGGACTGATGGGCTGCTGGACAACACAGTTGCATCCCAAACTGCACCCTATTCCCTATAAAGTGCACTACCTGGTCAAAAGTAGTGCACTACATAGGGAATAGGGTGCCATTTGTGACTCAGACAAAATGCTGACCTCCCAGTCTCCCTGTCAGTTGTACAAGCAGACTAATCCACCATGCTTACAGTACCATAGTTCTGATGGGATGATGTAATGTAGTGCATCCTCTGCATGTCAACTACCAGATGCCACTTTAGAGTCGGAGAGAGAAGTCATCCCAACCATTTTGGGGGATGGTCTACTCTGCAGGATTTGCTACAGTACTATTCAGTCGGTAGTTACTTATTTATTCATTTTCAAAATCTTGTAATCCAGATAACAACCACTTGTAGTCATTAGGAATGGCATGTAATTTCATAATAAAACAAAACTACAGTACAATGATTTATGATGACATAATGATCAAGTGTGTGTGTTTGTGTTTGTGTGTCCAGGACGTGGAGGCCAACACGGTGCGTCTGAAAGAGCATTATCAGGATGTTCTGGTGCTGGAGAAGAGCCCCAGCAGCAGCAGCCAGGTTTCCACCCATGGCTCGACCACCACCTCCTCCTCCTCACACTACAAGTACTGAGCTAACTCTCTATCTGTGTCACCCAGTCATCCACTCACAATATGATTGAACTACTTTCTGTAGCAGCACTGTTCAATAGAGGTAGAGTTATATAGGAAGTTAAAGGGGACTGTGGGTTTGTGAGATACTCTCTTCTGTTGGGAGGGAGGTTAATGTGTGTGATAATGTCTCTTGACGTTAGATTCATAAAGGGGAGTGAGGTTAGTGTGAGATACTCTCTTGAAATGTTGCACAGAGTGAGTGTAAAAAGTGGGTGAGTTTGTGAGAGACCCTCGGCTAAAGGTGTATAGTAGTGTGGATCTGGTGACTGCGAGGCTGCAGACGTGTGTTAGCTACTAGCTAGTCTTAATGGCGGCTGCTGTCAGTGACCGCGGCTGCAGTAATGGAGAGAGACACATTAATGGTAATGACAGAGAGATGGGCTCCCGGGGAGAAGGCAGGCCCCGCGGGTCACAATCACTCCATCAGGGTAGGCCTCTAATCAACTACAGCGCCAGTCACATATGAAGAGTGTGAGGGTGTCAAGCTCCTCTCCTTCCCACGTAGAGTGCCTGGCACACGCCGACTGCGTCCCAAATGGCATCCTTTTCCCTACTTTTTTTTTAGCAGGACCCTTTGGGGAATAGGGTGCCATTTGGGATGCACACACCTTGTCCTCTGTCTCCCCTGAACTAGCCAATCACAACAAGCCTGGCTGTAGCGTGTTGATTCTTATGGTCGAGTGGTGGTCTCTTCCTCTGTTTTACCTATGGAGAGGCTTCCACACCTTCTCTCACCCAGCCAGCCCACTATAACCTACAGCAGTGGTCAGGACCTCTTTGACTGTTGTTTGGATTATTATCTAATGTAGTAATCACAGTCAGGGACACAGGTCATTGAAGTGTGGAATATGAACAGTAGTGAGCACTAGCAGGAAACCTGTCTTGATTAATGAAGTAGGTGATTGATTGACACTGCCATTCTAGATACACTGTGATGTCAGGGACACCAGAGAAGATTCTAGAGCACTTCCTGGAAATGATGCGACTGGACTCTCACCTCAACGAATCAGGTAGAGTAGTGCACTCTGTCCCTCCAATAACATATCTTGCCACTGTGGACCGTTGTATTTCTGTGTAGGGACCAGGTGACCATTATTTCAACCCTATGTGATATTGACTGTAATGTCGATGGATGTGTTGTGTTCATCATGGCTGTGTGTTTAGATTGTCTCCTCTGTATCATCTGAGAGAGCGAGAGCATCCATCCTCCATGCTGCTGCTGACCTGTTTGTTCATGTCTATAATTAGCAGCGCATCACAGGGCTGATCTAATTACACTTGGTTGTGTGGGCTCCTGGCTGCTTTCATGTCCCAGCCGTCCGCGGTGACAGAGCCAGCAGCCATGTGTGATCAGGCCTGTAGTACTGTCAGCCTGATGGCCTGGTCTGGCACCCTTTCATCTGACATCACAGGTGCCCCTCTTCCTCTCTCTCTCTGTCTCTCTTCCGCTCTCTCTCTTTCTCTCTCGCGCTCTCTCTCGCGCTCTCTCTCGCACACTCGCCCGCTCTCTCAATCTCTCTCTCTGTCTCTGTCTGCCCAGACCCAGCTCTGGACGACTTTGTACTCATGCACTGCGTCTTCATCCCTAACAGTCAGCTGTGTCCGGTGCTCATGGCCCAATATCCTTTCAGTCACTGAAAATAGCAAATTATGAGCATATAGGATCAGGATCTAGGATCAGGTCCACCATGTCCAAATAATCATATTCATTGTGACTTAAATGGCTAAACTGATCCTGAATCAGCACTCTTACTCTGAGACGCTTGCTACAAACGGCCCCTGGACTAAGATGGGAGTCAGTGAATATGTAGCGCGTATGTGTTTCTGTCCTTAACTGCCCTGCACCTACCATGCTGAGGCGTCCCAGGGCTCAGAACAGGAGCGTCTGGACTACACCATGAACAACAAGAGGAGGGTGATCAGGCTGGTGCTGCAGTGGGCCTCAGTACATGGAGATCACCTGCAGGAAGAGGATGCCTCACTAGCCTTCCTAGAGGTCAGTGGATGCATCCCAAATACCACCCTATTCGCTATATAGTGCATAGGGCCCTGGTCAAAATGAGTGCTCTATAAAGGGAATAGGTTGCCATTTCGGATGTAACCAGTGTCTTCCTCACAAACCTTTATTAATAGGCACACTTATTCAGCTTGTTGCTTAAAAACGTACTATTTGCTGTAATAGTGTAGTATTAGTGATTTACCATTTAAATTAGTTTGGGCTCATTAATCTCTCCTCATTGAGAGTGCGTTGTGTGTTGCAGGAGTTCTTTGTGTCTGTATCTGATGATGCCAGGGAGATTCCTGCTCTGAAAGATCAACTCCCAGAGTTAGAGAAGATAGTTAAAAACAAGTAAGTGTATAAATGTATTGTTACTGCGTTGTACTTATCTTTAGTGTCCCCGGTTTTAGCATGGTGTAATCTCATTTTGTTTACCTTCTCAGCTCTGATGTTGCCAGATCCTCTCAAAAAAAGGTATGTGACCCAGCTATGACCCAAGCACTGCAGTCATATTCTGTAGTTTTGTTTTCATTGTCAGCACGAGCTACATTCCCCCCCCCCCCCCATGGATTTGTTGTCATGATGTTGAACCAACACACTTCTATGTTGAACCAACACACTTCTATGTCTGTCTTGTTCTGTTCCAGCACAAAGTCCTGTTGAGGCAGTTCAGCATGGGGGATGAGAAGCTGCAGAAACGACAGGCCATCAAGAGTAATGATGAGAGTAAGTATGGCATAGTGCAGGGTTTTCCAACAGCGGCCCGAGGGAAGTATTTGGCCCACGGGGAGTATTATTTTGATATATATATATATATATATATATATATCAAAATAATACTCCCCATGGGAAATATATATACAGTATATATATATATATGTGTACACTGCTCAAAAAAGGGAACACTAAAATAACACATCCTAGATCTGAATGAATTAAATAATCTTATTAAATACTTTTTTCTTTGCATAGTTGAATGTGCTGACAACAAAATCACACAAAAATTATCAATGGAAATCAAATGTATCAACCCATGGAGGTCTGGATTTGGAGTCACCCTCAAAATTAAAGTGGAAAACCACACTACAGGCTGATCCAACTTTGATGTAATGTCCTTAAAACAAGTCAAAATGAGGCTCAGTAGTGTGTGTGGCCTCCACGTGCCTGTATGACCACCCTACAACGCCTGGGCATGCTCCTGATGAGGTGGCGGATGGTCTCCTGAGGGATCTCCTCCCAGACCTGGACTAAAGCATCCGCCAACTCCTGGACAGTCTGTGGTGCAACGTGGCGTTGGTGGATGGAGTGAGACATGATGTCCCAGATGTGCTCAATTGGATTCAGGTCTGGGGAATGGGCGGGCCAGTCCATAGCATCAATGCCTTCCTCTTGCAGGAACTGCTGACACACTCCAGCCACATGAGGTCTAGCATTGTCTTGCATTAGGAGGAACCCAGGGCCAACCGCACCAGCATATGGTCTCACAAGGGGTCTGAGGATCTCGTCTCGGTACCTAATGGCAGTCAGGCTACCTCTGGCGAGCACATGGAGGGCTGTGCGGCCCCCCAAAGAAATGCCACCCCACACCATGACTGACCCACCGCCAAACCGGTCATGCTGGAGGATGTTGCAGGCAGCAGAACGTTCTCCACGGCGTCTCCAGACTCTGTCACGTCTGTCACATGTGCTCAGTGTGAACCTGCTTTCATCTGTGAAGAGCACAGGGCGCCAGTGGCGAATTTGCCAATCTTGGTGTTCTCTGGCAAATGCCAAACGTCCTGCACGGTGTTGGGCTGTAAGCACAACCCCCACCTGTGGACGTCGGGCCTTCATACCACCCTCATGGAGTCTGTTTCTGACCGTTTGAGCAGACACATGCACATTTGTGGCCTGCTGGAGGTCATTTTGCAGGGCTCTGGCAGTGCTCCTCCTGCTCCTCCTTGCACAAAGGCGGAGATAGCAGTCCTGCTGCTGGGTTGTTGCCCTCCTACAGCCTCCTCCACGTCTCCTGATGTACTGGCCTGTCTCCTGGTAGCGCCTCCATGCTCTGGACACTACGCTGACAGACACAGCAAACCTTCTTGCCACAGCTCACATTGATGTGCCATCCTGGATGAGCTGCACTACCTGAGCCACTTGTGTGGGTTGTAGACTCCGTCTCATGCTACCACTAGAGTGAAAGCACCGCCATTATTCAAAAGTGACCAAAACATCAGCCAGGAAGCATAGGAACTGAGAAGTGGTCTGTGGTCACCACCTGCAAAACCAGTCCTTTATTGGGGGTGTCTTGCTAATTGCCTATCATTTCCACCTGTTGTCTATTCCATTTGCACAACAGCATGTGATATTTATTGTCAATCAGTGTTGCTTCCTAAGTGGACAGTTTGATTTCACAGAAGTGTGATTGACTTGGAGTTACATTGTGTTGTTTAAGTGTTCCCTTTATTTTTTTGAGCAGTGTGTATATATATATATATATATACAGTGGGGAGAACAAGTATTTGATACACTGATGATTTTGCAGGTTTTCCTACTTACAAAGCATGTAGAGAGACGGAATCGAAAACAAAAATCCAGAAAATCACATTGTATGATTTTTAAGTAATTAATTTGCATTTTATTGCATGACATAAGTATTTGATCACCTACCAACCAGTAAGAATTCCGGCTCTCACAGACCTGTTAGTTTTTCTTTAAGAAGCCCTCCTGTTCTCCACTCATTACCTGTATTAACTGCACCTGTTTGAACTTGGTACCTGTATAAAAGACACCTGTCCACACACTCAATCAAACAGACTCCAACCTCTCCACAATGGCCAAGAACAGAGAGCTGTGTAAGGACATCAGGTATACAATTGTAGACCTGCACAAGGCTGGGATGGGCTACAGGACAATAGGCAAGCAGCTTGGTGAGAAGGCAACAACTGTTGGCGCAATTATTAGAAAATGGAAGAAGTTCA